TAACTTCTGACAGAGAGAGAACCGTATTTACTCTCTTTTTTGTCCTCCCAATAGTCAGAGAACCGAGTACGGGATCGATTTCCAGTAAAATCTTACTGATTCTGACTAGTCCGGACTCGTACGGGATCGCAACTAATATTGTCGTTTAAGCAACCATCATCACCACCAAGCTTCAAAGGGCACAGAATGAACTTATGAGTTAAGCTAAAGAAATATTTTCATAATAATATTTTGGCGCTTACACTCTTGCTAAATATTTGGTTGAGCTTCTTCTCCGGCTTCTGCAGTTCGTCTTGATGTTGATACACAAACGGAGGGCCTACAGCTTTACGTCGGCTCCGAACAGCAAATGGATTTTATGAGACAAAACTTTTTCTAATTTAGATGTTGCTAGGACTAGGGTTCGAACCACGGCTATCCTAAATGCAAATTAATTATTCCACGGAAATTCCAGTAGGCTTGATAACTCGCAACTGTAAAGGAACGTGTTAAGTTAGCTGCTAATAAGGGATTAGAACATATGTTTTGGACTTAATCCATTTTTGCTGAACTTAGAGCTTTGATCTACAAAAATAATAAAACCCTGTCTATTTTTGAATTTGGGTGCTTTCCGAAGGTTATAACTTGTTTCCTGAAAAAAAAAACGTCTGGGACAAGGCGAATTCATATAAGGTGGTATCGATTCAACAAATACAACAATTACTTGTATTTTGTTTTTGTTTTTAGCGGGTCATTGTCAAATTTCAGCAATTCTTCTCCGAATGAAAAAGGGCGACAGAAAATGCGAACACTTTCACGTTTTCACTCACTCACTAGCAAAATATAAAATTTTGACAATCAAACGCTACTCACAGCTGATTAAAAAACACCACCTTATATAAATTCGCCTTGGTCTGGGAATTAAATTATTTTTTTTTGAATTATGACATGAAAATTTGAGACTCCACAGTATTTTTTAGGAAAGGTTTTTCCAGAGCAGGGGTTGTTTTTAATGGCTCATATTGGTAAAAACGCTTTTATTATAGATTTAGATTTTACGTACATACGTCTCTAAATTTGCTTGTTTACCTATGTCGTACATACAAACATACAGATCTGTGTTCATATGGAATAGTAGCTTATGTCGGAAGGCTGGCTTTAGTACTATTAGTTACGGTGACCATCCGTCCTGGTAATTTATTTATTTCATACGGGACGCGCCAAATGTTCTGTATTTCTTTTAATGCCCCGTATTTGTCCCGTATTGGGTATTTTGGTGCCTTAACAGCTCATAAAAATGACATGCCTATGAACTAGTTTTTATTTTTAAATCTGGACGCTTGTGATTGGAATCAAGGAGCACATATTTAGATGGTTTCTGAAGTTATAATTTTGTGTAGAAAAACTAGGTATTTGCGAATATGAATCGAAATTAGACGTTAATGATTATTGTTGAAATCTCTCTTTGGATTCAATTACGTTTCTATTTGATTTTAATATTTTTTTCCCTCAGTGTATATGGTCACCGTAAGTATAATGCACCATTCCCTTTCTTCTTTTAACCACAAAAAATTTGTTGATGATGACTTAATAAGAATATTGACTTGCTAGTATCGGAACTATTTCTTTCACGTTTATTTGCTAAGAGTTCGTCAACAGCTCGGCGCTATTGAGTCATTCATATTGAGTCAATCGTATGCTGCGAATAGTTTATTAAATTAAAGTCAGCTTTCCGACTTAAGCTACTAACTATTCCATACGAACACAGATATGTACATACATTCTCTATTTTTTTTTTTGCAGAATTAAAAACAAAATCCCTTAGTAATTATTTCAAAAAGTAGTAGAATGATTGAAATCAGTAGACGAACTTTGGCGCTGAGTATGGCGCTAATAGCTACTATACAGATGACATTATGGACACCAATAAACAGTTTACCTCAAGGTGCACCGGAAACAGTGTGCGACACAATGTTGCCGTTCCACGGTGGTGGCATTCCGCCTTCGAGTTCGTTGCCGCCGTTCCGAATAGAAACGTCGTCGTTGGCAATTGGCCAAGGGCAAACAATGCGTGTGGACATTGCCGGCGTTCCACCTGGCTTGAGTTTCGGGGGATTCATGGTGCAGGCACGCAACCGAAACTCGCCCCATCAAATTGTAAGTCATTTTGAAAAATGTCTTGAATACATACATACATACATATGTACGTACGTACAAATGTATGTAAACATAAACATGTAATCCATCCAATAGCAAAAGAAGTACAATTTGTGAATAAATAGTTGTGTAAAATGTTTTTAGTTACATACATATGTACATATTTGCGTATTTTAACTAATTGCTATTAACTATAACTACAAGCTATATACATGCATACACATACATGCAAACATATTTACTATTTATTTATGTACATAATTACACGAGCTTACCCGGCCAGCATTTGGAATATTGTTTGGCGATTTACGAGCCGCGTAGAAAAGTGTTTGTGGACAATTCTTGGCCACGATGAAAAAACGAACCTGACTCTTTTCAGCGATTGCAACAACGCATTATGCTTTTAAATAACTGTTGGCGTACAAAAACAAAAATTATGATAGCGTAATTTTTTAAGAACGTGACAGCCGTAGAGAATTTTTTTCGCGATAAAATGTTATTTCGCTTATGTCGCTTGTACTTAATTGAAAATGCTGGCTTGACATCTAGGCTTGTACGCCATTTAATTTTTTTGTGAAGTATGCATGCACATTAGACGGCATCACCAAAAAAAGTTGCGGTATTTCCGCCTGGATTACAAAATTTATTATATGTATTTCAAGGCGTCCACCAATATATTTGGGAAAAATATTAAGATTTAAGCGAGTTGGACCGATTTGAAAAAAACCTCCCGAAATGGAGTTTTTTATGAATAAAAATAGTTACTTAAAGAACTTTTTGAAAAAAGTCAACTCAGGTGACAAATGGAGATTAGGCTTAAAAGATCCGCATAAAAATGTTTAAAAATCTTTTCAGCGGAATCGTAATAATGAAATTTTTGATGCTGTTTGCTTTTTTACTTCAACTACTGTTTTTCACTTTTTTCAAAGATTGATTTACGAAAAACTTAAACGGGATCTCAGTTGACAGGTATTTTCCTACTATGATTATTTATGTGCAAAAAAAGTCATTCGTGTCCCAATATATATATATATATATTTTTTTTTCAAATACCAACACATTTTAATTCAACTTTGAATGATGTTCGTTCATCCTACATTTCTCTTCCATCCTTTGAATGAGTTTATTTAGCAAAGAAATAAAAACCTTTCCAATGATATCTCACAAGAATAAATCGGGAGAGTTTAGGTTCAGTTAATCAAGTTTTTCTTATGCCAATCTTTGAAAAAAGTGAAAAACAGCATCAAAAA